TTTGACATTTACAGATTCTTAATGGGTATCCCAGAAAAACAAAGTATTTTTCTGTGCCAAAGGAATGAGATGCTGGCCATTCTGCAACCATTGTCTCCATGTTTGACTTTAAGGAAGAACTAGATGGCTTGTAACTGCTTCTGTGAGCTCTGCAAATTAATGGGTTACTTTGATGTTTTTATCACATCATTCATCTTCTATCATTTCTGAAGGGCCTATGATTTGTGATTTTCTTTATGGGAACAGATTGCTATCTATTTTCTCCACTTAATAATGGACAAAATACTTAGAAATACTGTATTAGTTCCTTGACGTTTTGTAGTGAGTTTGAAGTTTACAGGAATTGCTGAAAAGAAAATGAAATGAGACCTTTTACTAGCATGTTATTACAGGATGAAGTCATCTATTTCTGCTCCAGTTCAGTGAAATACTTAATTTGTACTTTGAGCCTATGCTTAAAGACTTTGATAATTTTGGATCTCGCTCACAAGTATAGGATCTCTAAGTGTCTTTGAGACACATTTTCAAAGGATAATAATAGACCTGATATAGTACTTTTGTCATAGATCCCAAAGTGCCTTGTAGTGGAGGCTTGTAACAGTATTTTCATTCTACAGTCACTTTGCCTCAATTTCCTTCTACAATGTGCATATTTAGTTTCTTTCCAGTATGGGCTAGAATAAAAGTGACATTGTAAGAAAAAGCTACAAAAACCCCCCCAAACCTACTAAGGAAAAAAAACTTATTACGTTAAGATGGGACTTGTCCTCTCAAAGAAGTGGATTAAGTGGTAGGAACATAGTAGATCACTTTCCAAGAGGAATGCAAATTGAGTCTGATAATTTTTTAGAATTTAATTCAGTATATTAGTAGAAGATTGGTAAACAGCAGAAGCTCCAAATAACAAATGACTTCACTTGGGCAAGAGCAGAGAGTGTTTGGATTAGTTTTGGTTTGTTTTGTATCACTAACATTTGTCTTGGTAAAACTAAGGAAGACTTTTTCCTACTTGTAGATTGAAAGCTAGTGCCAATTAGGAAGCCCTGTCTATGGTTGTTGGGATCATGCAATACAAGAGCGCTCTGGCCTCTGCGTTTGGAAGCACTGGGCACACATTCAGATCTCAAATATTTTTTCTTTTCTGGGTAGTTGAGTGAAAATTTTGGTAGGTAGTGAAAAAGGTCCGTAGTGAAAAAGAAAGAGTGGAAATGCCACCTTTTCAGAAAGGAATAGCAAATGATAGATTTTGATGAACAGAAGTTGACTCACATTTTCAGTGCTGTCTTCCATTTGAATTACTCCACTGCAAAATCAAAATAAAAGCAAAATGAAGATGCAGAGAAAGAATTTAATGTGAGATGAGTTTGAAAAGTTTAAACTGTTTATGCAGATGTGTAACCTAAAGATTATGAAGGAAGTTATTTTGAAGATTTTATTTGTCTTTTCTCAAAATAAAAGAAAAACCCAAAGGAAATACTGAATACGCTGGAATTGGAAATCATACCAAATGTAATTTTTAAAGGTAATACTTAGACTGTGGATGTCCCCAGATGTAGCAAAGTATGCATTATAGGGACAGTGAGTTCTGGGAATTTTTTTAGCAAGCAGGTTTTTCTGTATGTAATAAAACTATCTCCTGATCTGGTACTTCCATCCATTTCAGTTAAAAAAGCCAAACATTTACTGTAGCAGTTAGGGAGGAGCTTCTTCAAAACTATGTTTTTTCATTATTTTCCATCAGATTTTGTAGTTTTTCTGTGGTATCTGATACCAATCACTGCTGAGACAAGATTTCAGAGCAGCTGAATAGCAATCTGATGCAGTCTGACATTTTCTGTCCTTGTGATGATGATGGTCATTTCTATTGTCTCTTGAAAGCTACCCAGGTATAAGTATAGAGAAAGGGATAGGGAGAAACTCCACAGAAGATATTAAAAAGATTTCTAATTTATATTTAAATTATATGCTAGGGATCATTTATATGCTAGTAAATGAAAAAGTTATGATGAAATATATGTACAGGCAGAGTTAATGTAAGTGTGTGCTTCTGTTCATCACTTGTTTCAATAGGAGAGGCGGGAATAAGTCAGTAAGAATACAGGTTAAGTATTTTGTGCAACTTCATACAACCACATCACTGAAGCCAAGAGCTTTGTAGAAATACAGAAAAAAATAGTTTGTCTGTGTTTGTATAATAGGAATTTAAATAAAGATTTTTGATTTAAAGAAAAACCATCATACTTCAAGCAAAAATTGACCTCTTGTTGTTAAGGCTTAGGAAGAAACTTCCACAGTAGGTATGTTATACTTGTTTGTTTTAGAAGGTTGTTTGACTGTGTTTAATTTTCTCAGTATCTCATAGTGTCTATTATTAGAGAGAAAATTCCCAACTAAGACAGACCAGCAGTTTGGTCAAGCTTGGGCATATCCTTTTTTCTATTCTGAGATAATCTAATTTTCTGCTAGTACTGTGTACTCATTTGAAAGCTAAAATGTTTTTTAAAGTAGTGGCATGTCCTCCAGCCAGGTCATTGACCTGAATTTCATAGTATAATTCATGTTGCTTGGAGTCATTACCTTGCATCCAGATTGAACAGCCAGTTCTCCAGAGTGGATGACAAGACCGGTCTAAGACAGTCAGGAAAACCTTAGGCTAAATACTAAGATACAACTCCCCTTAGTGATAATGAGACGAGGCTTACATATGCAGCAGTAGAGTACACAGGTGATCAGTTCTGCATACTCTTTTTTCAGTTAGTGGTGCCTAACTGAACCGACAGGCAACCAACCGTTTTACTGTCATTTTATAATACACTTTAAAGACAGCTCACTTATGCTATCATTTTGGGCAGCTTTATGGGATGTTACATAGTTCTGTAACAGTATTTGGTCATTTGTACAAATAGCCCAGGGGTTTCTGATACTGTCCTGTTCCCATACTTCCAGGACCTCTGCAATCTTACAGCCTTGGGTGCACCTGCTAGATGGCTCACTGTTAGACACAGACGTCCTCTAAAGCTACTCACAGGTCACTGTACAGAACAATGAGATTTAAAAGTATGCATATGTGTTAGTGTATACATATGAATATGATAATTTCTTAGCTCCTTGCTATTAATATCCAATTATGGCAGTGTTATTGGTATGGGTTAGAATTTAATTCTTTTTGAGTTATAGTGAGGTTTTTTATGGAACATATTAAAATACTATGTTATACAGACGTAGTGGTAATGAGTCAGGAATTGGCACACTGTCCTCTGAGTCAGGATATTAGGGGGCATTGTGTACCAGAGGTACTTACTTTTGGCTAAGCCGCAGATCTGACCATCTGTGGTCATAAAAGATCCTGGGAATATTTTTGTAATAACCTAGTTTAGTGACCAAGTTTGATTATGAGTAATGGCATTTGAATGAACTTTCCCAAGTTATTACTATTACTTCTTTTATAAAATATGCTTTGTCATGTTGTCATGTTGTCCTGTTTATATATGTAGTTTTATGCGTTTTAATCTACTATTAATTATATTGAAGGTCCAAACAAAACTATCATTGCAGATAGTTTGCAAAGCTGTGGAATGCTCAGATCTCTTGTGAATCTGTGATTCTGTGAATATTGATAATTTTAACTATGCCCGTGTGCATAGGCTGTTCAGATGCTGCCTTGAGATGATCAAAGGTTATTGTCTGCAAACAACAGATGCATGAGTTCTTCTGTCCCCTGTTATACCTCTTGGGCATGAAAGTCACTAATCACACTGTTCTTTCTTAGAAATTTAAAAGCCTACAAACAATCTAAACAAACAAGGAGAAGTTCAGTGATCCACTGGGATCTTATGAATGCTATAAAGCATACTGAATACATATTAAAATAAAGGGCCTGTTGTGCTTTTAGGAAATTAATAACTACCCTACTTTTCTGTCAGAGTTCAAGATAAATTTTAAGGTGTTTTACTAGTTGACTGAAATGTGATTTGATTTGTTTTGATATCAATACACTGAAGGAACTATGTTAATTCCTATAATAATTTCCTTTGAAAACTCTTGATGGATATTTGTAATTCACATGCAGCTGATTCAAACTTCTTTTTCTTCTATTACAGCTTAGAACAATACAAACAGATCTAATTAATTTTATAACTCTACTATGTCATATGGAGATTTTATACAGATGAACCTTAACAGAGCATGTCTTCCCTAAAATAAGACAGAGTAAAATGTTTAGTAACCACCTCAAGATTTTTTTTTCTAGGTTATCCTTAAAATGGTAAATAACAAACTGGAGTAGGATTTAATACACATTTATATCCAGGGCTTCCATCACTGATATTTTTTCATCCCTTCAACAATACCAGCCTTATCACCTCTGTAAATCAAAACCTTTTGAACTTCTGTGACAGAGACTTGAAGTGACATTGTGAGATATCACAGAGCTGTCCGCTCTACTAGCCATTTAGATATCTCTAAAAGGCAGGGTTTTTTAAATAGATGGATGAGTGTAGACGCCTAAAGTGGAAAGGCTTTTGCTCTCCTTTGCAGGCAACAAAAAAGAAGGAATTATTCCTTTGTATCCTCTTGCAGTGCCCAATAGCTAAAATGAGAAAAGTCTAAAAAAAACTAACCCCAAATCCACAATCCCCCTTCCCCCAGCTACTAAAGTGTCATCTGGCTGCAGGGCTGTATGTTGCTTATTGAAAGCCAAAGGCCTGACTTTGAGTCCCAGTAGCTTATTCTTCAAGCTGGTAAGAGCTGGATCCCTCACAGAGGTAGTGAATAGAGGGGCTGTAAAAACAGAAGCAGCATTTGTGGGTCAGTCAGTAATGGAAGGGATGCACCCATGCCTGGGTGCATTCACACAGCAGACTGCCTGTCACATGCAAAAGTCAGGGAGACTAGAATGTATCCTGGCTTCCAGCAAGGAAAAGGAGACGCGCCAGTGTAAATGTGGGACAGTGAGCTGAAAGCATGAGGACTTTAAAATGTGTCATTTTAAAATGACAAAAATGGCAAAAATGGCTTCTAGGTTTATCACCAGAGAAAACAGAAGTCCTATGGGTAGGTATCTGGTGAAAAAGCCACTCTCACTGACTTGGAAAAATACTGGGCAAGTAGAGAGCAAAGAGAAAATGTAACTCAGTAGCAATACCATGTTTTTGATATCAGTGTCTCATTGTCCTATAGGTTTGAAGTTTGAGGAAATGCAAGAAAAGTTTGGGGAGGAATTCTTCAATATCTGCTTTGATGAGAATGAAAGAGTTCTTCGAGCTGTAGGTGGGACCCTTCAAGACTTCTTCAATGGCTTTGATGCTTTGCTGGAGCACATTAGAACTTCATTTGGAAGACAGGCCACTCTGGAATCCCCTTCTTTCCTATGCAAAGAGCTCCCTGGAGGCAATCTCATGCTTCATTACTTTCACCCACATCAGATTGTGGGTTTTGCAATGATAGGTATGATAAAGGCAGCAGCAAAGAAGATTTACCGCTTGGAAGTGGAAGTAGAACAGGTCAGTAATGATAAGTTGTGTTCAGAGGAGACGAACCCAGGTAACTGCAGTTGTCTGACTTTCCTTATTAAAGAACATGAAAATGCAAATATCACAAAAGCACTTCCACCAGGAACTTCCCAGTCCCCCTTAGACCTGAGGATTAGCATCAACACCTTCTGCAGAGCTTTCCCTTTTCACCTGATGTTTGATCCAAACATGCTGGTTCTCCAGCTTGGAGAAGGTCTTAGGAAGCAGCTCAGATGTGACACTCATAAAACTCTGAAATTCCAAGATTGCTTCGACATAGTTTCTCCTAAAATCAGTGCCACATTTGAACGAGTTCTCCTGAGGTTATCTACTCCCTTCGTCATTCGGACCAAACTTGAGGATTCTGGCTCTGAAAATAAAGATAAGGTAAGAACACTAATTTGGAAGGGGACGTGTATATATGTGTGCTTTGGGAGGGGATTATTTATTCAGAGAGAAGCAGCTCAAGTCCTGTGTACTCTGGAAGGCTCACTTACGCCATACAAACAGGGGCTAAATGGTATTCCTCATCCAAGTGAATATTTTTCTAAATTATTTATACGATTTGTCTGTGATGTTGTAGCAAATTATGACATTGCCATTCAGAAAATTCTACACTGTGAAGTTGAATAGTGCAGCTTAAATCAAAAGTGTGATGAATTTTATAAGATGCCTCTATCTACTCCTTAATTTCACTCCAGCTATATTATGATAACAATAATAGCTGTTAAGTCATTTTCTAGGGAATAGATTTCAGTACGTTTTCTGAAAGACTCTCACTGCAGGGTTCACGCTGCCAATTTATTATATCCTACTTCCCTCTTTCAAAACACTGCTTTCCTCTGTGTTTCTTCTTATCTCTCACCCTGCACTCAAGGGAACCAGGGCTGTAAGTGGTACCGAGTATCACTTATGCCAGTTTTAATGCTTTCCAGTCACTTAAATAGGCACCTGTCCTCCTACACTACCTCTTCCCTCAGTGTTTTAGAAGAGAGCTACCTTAACTAGTGAGCCCCATGTTGAGCTCAGTGCATCCTAGGTGAGTTAGTTGAGAACATGTCTTCTAGAGTGGATCTCTCCAAAGGTTGGATGGAGCTTGTCTTATTGCATTATGGGAAAGCTTTTTGGTGTGAAGTTGGGTTCCAGCTTTATGCAGCAAAGTACTTGTACTTAGTGCTTACATTAAAAGCCTGTGTGTGGGTTCCAGTTCCTTCCACTGCTGCCCTAAGTGAGGGAATTATTGATTTTCAGGGTTTTTAAGAGATAGCACCCAAGAATAGTCAATCTCTATCACACTGGATAATTAGACACAAAAGTTCTGCCTATGGGAGCCACATTTAGAGTTTAGGTGGTTTGGGTTTAGCTTGAGAAACTCTGATTTGCTACCTACACTGGGACAGCGCATTAGAAAGACTCCTGTGGTAACTGCATATTGGGTTCTGGGTTCTTTTCAAAATACAGCCACTTCTGACAGCAGCAACGTTTCAAGCTCCTCTTTGGCAGCAATAAACATGTTTCTGACGAATTTTCCCCCAGAAAGAACATGTTCCCCCAAGAGAAGCAAACTAGTGCTTCTCATTTTCTGTGAATTGATGTAATTCAACCTATTTAAAACCAAAAGGGAGTTTATTTTTCAGAATCTGTCCTCAAAGTCACCCTAGCCTTTAATTATGAAAAGGACATGTTGTGTGAAAATTTTGTTGTGTTGGCTCTGAGATGCCTTTCGACACAATCGTTTATCCTTTGCAAGAGGCTCGTGCTGTGCTCCTTCCTCTCTTGGATCCTGCCCATCCCTCTCAGGCAACTTCCCCTGCCCTGAGACAGTCACAGCCCTTCAACCATCTTCTGCTCTTCATGAATCTGCTGTAAATTACTCTGAAGAGGAAGAAGGTTTTGGCAGCAGGTGGCAATGGGGTGTTTTTACGTATTTTTTCCCTATCTAATTACAAGTTCAACAAATAAAATGTTCTCTTACCTGGGCAGGTTTCCTACACTTGTGGCTTGCTCATAGGAGAGGTGCCAGGGGGTAGAGCTTGCTGGAGGCAGGTTTTAACAGCCAGTTTGGGCAGCTTCTGTACCGTCAAACTGTGCAACTCTGAGTGCATCCTTGCATCATTGCTGTGGTTTGTACTTTGTGTCATTACAGGTGGGCAATGAATCGAGTCAGCGGTGGGCCCAGCTACCGCTTGGGAGAGTGTCCTGACTTCCAGGCTGCTTAGCGCTTGTCCCATTTATGCAAAGTCTCATTTGTGTGCATAGATTTACTGAGGTTTGAATCACTGGATTAAATGATGTGGCTTTATAACACTATCCTAAATTTCTGATGTAAGGCCTATGAGGTCTGGGTGATAGGTGGCCATTCCTGCAGAGATGTATGTGCACCTTTTCAGAACCACACAGCCTCATGCATCAATGAATCAATACGTCAACAAAGTTTTGTTAGTTGGATTTGTCACCAGCTGTTCCTTGGAGCACTAACATTTACAAAATCCCATTGTTGTAGGGATCAAACAGGTAAAAAACCTCCCCACCTGAAGAACATGGACTTTATAGCTTTAATCCTAATTTTCAACACCATCCATCCTCGGGGGTCATAATTCTGATGTTTTGATGTTTGCTTGGCTGATATTTCAGTCTCCTTTATTCAAAGGACATGTAGACAGTGCAAGCATTTATTCCACAAAATAGTAAGCAATTGCATATATTTATTAGGTCAGTAGTCTCACCGACTTTACTTGAACTTGTCATAAATTTGCAACTAAACACATTTGTAAATCTGTAGAGAATAATAACAAAATTGTACAAACTGATCCTGAATAAGACAGGAAGTGGCACATTACTTCAATCCTTTCTTCCCTCCCTCGTTCTGTCCTTCCATATTATTTTCCACAGTGATCAAGTTATCCACACCAATGCATTGGGATTTTTCTTGATGATTCTGCACATTCAAAATCATCTATATGAACAATTATGACTGTCTGTAGGTCAGGTTTCCTAATATGCACACAGCTCTTTAAATGTATAAAAGCTGAATGGGATTGGCCTCTGAGGTTTCCAGTTTTCCCATGCAGCTAAATTCTTGTCATTGTTTGTTGTTTATAGTGTGATACTACCCAGATGCTGAAGGGAGAATGAGGGCCCTGTTGCTCTTCCTCTACAAATATTCTGTTGTTTTTCACATTTCACACTAATTTTTATTCAGGGTTTTTTCTGTTTAAATGGAGAGCTTAATTTGCATGCAATCAGATTTTCCAAATTTTTGGGTATTATCCCTGAGTAACAAGATCACAAATATCACTGTTTCACCTCTCTAAGGAAACTCATTCTACAGCTCTCTCTCTGGGAGCAATTATTTATTGCAACAATCAAAAACCATTTATTGTGGCAGTTAACCATTTGGGATTGATTGCTTATAGCTTCTCACATAAAACTGTACTCCACAAGTGTTTAATGAAAGTTAGTAGAGTCACATATGGAATAAGATATAATTTAAATTGAAAGGACTGTGTCTGAACTTATCCGCTGGAGTGTTCTGAAGCCCCTGTTAAGCCCATCCACTGAGGTTTCCTTTCCCTGAAGGTGCTGGCATGCAGGAGAGCTGATGATTGTGCACTGCTGTGCAGGGGGACAGGAGCTGCCTTCCTTTAGACACTCCACAGTCTTTGGTGGTGGGTCCTCCTGGCCAAGCAACCATCTGGGAAGCAACACCGCTCCCTCCCTGGCAGCAGCTCCAGGTGTTTGTGCAAAGCAGATGCAGTGTTTGCACCCAAGTCTCTCCCTGACTCTCACCTGTGTTGACATGATTGTTTCAACATTTTACTTGTAAGCACTACTTAGACTTGTGTGGTATCAACATTGCTATCTCCCATCTGAGCTTCTGCAGGACTTCCACTTTCTTACATTTCCAATAGAAGTCAGTTCCTCATCTCTGTGAGTCACTGTTGTTTTTAAGGCAGATCATCTTTTACCATGTCTCTTTGTATATGCTCCCCAATGAATATTACCTGATTCTGCTGCCTCAATGACTTTGCCTTTCTCAAACAGCCTGGTAACTTTTCCCTCACAAATCTTGTTTTTAGTTGCCACCAAGGCCACATTTCAAGTTTTCATTGAAAGTGCATCATAGGAATTTTCCCCTTTATCTCTTTTTTTGCAGAGAACAAGACAAAACACAGCTGATAAGCCAGCAGTAAGGTGCACATGTAGCATGAGTGCAAGTGTACAGTCCTCCCCCCATTTCTTGACCGGTCAAGGGCTGGAAGCTCCTGATGGGTACTTCCTGAAAACAGTTGTTTTCTGACAAATGAACAAGGCAGTCTGTGACATGATGTAAACACTTGCCTCCTTGCCAGTGCAGTGGGCTGGCTGGAGCTGCTTCACTTTTTGACTGTGTGGGAAGACAAGGACGGACTCTTGTTTTTCCTCTCCTGGCTAACGTCCTCCTCACGTGCCTCTTCTGTGCCATTAGTGCTGGGCAGATCGAGAGGAAAAGTGACTGCCCTCACGGGGACCCTCTGCATCCCCAGGACCTTGATCCAGACCCAGTCCTCTCGGTGCACAGATTGACAGGAGGAGCCCTGCCAGCACTGGTTTGCGGGTGCCTTTCTGAAACTGTGACTTGGCATGCAGTTGGCAAGAAAGTTGAAAGTGAATCATGAAATACATTATTTGGCTCCCTGCCAGATACTGTGCAGCTCTATTTTCCTTGTGCTACTGCTCTCCTCTCAGACTAACAGCGTTTTTTCACCTTTGAAATAAATAACTTTTTATAACGATACTCACTGGCCTTTTGACTTACTGTTAGACCTGCGAACACTTTAGTTCAGAGAACCTGTCTAAGAATAATGCTGGCACCTGAAACTGCATTACTGAAGGTGGCTAGAATTTTTCTGGTGGAACACATTCTATTTGAATATACCATTTTATTAAAATCACAACTTCCCAGGGATTTGGCAAAATTTACTTCTATTGTGTTAAAATGTTTTGTTCAATAATTTTAAATTTAAAATACTTTTTATTAGGAAAAAGTTTTACGTTTATATTATAATACAACAACATTTAAAAAATATGAAGCATTGGGTTTGACAGAAAGAATCCTCTGAAAATTTTGGATTGCAAGAAGTTCCAAATGCCACATATAATTCAGATTTTCAAGAAACACCAACTCTGTAATGGTAAAACATCCAGCAAAGTGGTAGTGTCAGCTTTTTATAGCCCTACTGATTGTGCAGGCTGTCTGAGCCAGTGCCTCAGCTGTTGTCAGTAGGGAGGAGAGGTTTGTGAAAGATGAGCTGGGCT